CTATGCCACAAGTCTTCATCTGTCATCTCACCGGTCATCCAGGCTTCTCAGACAGTTCTTCAGTTCCCAAAGGCATTGAGGCCATGGGATGAGGAATGACTGATGATAACTGCACTCTTGACCAGAAAACTGACATCGTCACTCAGAAACATGCCCAGATGTCCCAGGCAAAGTGGCTGTAGGACCATTCAGCATACATGGAATTACCTCAAGAAATAATCATCACCATCATCTTCCCCAAACTCTGAAACTATTTCACACATACTGGACCATGAGAGAGATCCCCAGAATCCAGCACCAGTATCATCCACTGCAAGTAGCACAGAAGTCTGGCTGTCGTCACTGATGTCAAAGACAGTTTCAGGTTTTTGGTTTTTTTAATCAGAATATTTTAGAAATCTGAGAGAAAGAAAATAGATTGGGATCTACCTGGAAGCTACAACAGTAGGGCTTAACTGGAATGTTCTTATGGAAAGAGACTATTGTAATGCAAGGGGACAGAGGAAAAGCAAACATCTGTAAGGGTTTTCATAAAAGTCTAGAAAGATCTAAAAAATTCTGCTCTATGGTAAGGTTCAATTTGGACTGACAGGACTAACTTGAAAATACCCATCTTCTCCATCCTTGCAACTGCAGAAAAATATTACACATCAAGACAAAGACCAAGAAAAAAATGCCAAAAGATGAAATAATTTCCACCTAGAACAGAGGTTTCCACAGACAGGTGTACCCTGTGGGGAGGTATGCCCACATGGCCAAGAAGGCCAATGGCATCCTGTGCTGTGTGGCCAGCAGGACCAGGGCAGTGATTGTCCCCCTGTACTCAGCACTGGTGAGGTCACACCTGGAGTGCTGTGTCCTGTTCTGGGCCCCCCAATTTAGGAAGGACACTGAGATGCTCAAATGAATCCAGACAAGGGCAACGAGGCTGGTGAAGGATAAATCCTGTGAGGAGGCTGAGGGAGCTGGGGTTGTGCAGCCTGGAGAAGAGGAGGTTCAGGGAAAACCTTCTCACTCTCCACAACTCCCTGAAAGGAGGGTGTAGCCAGGTGGGGATTGGTCCCTTCTCCCAGGTAACCAGTGACACAGTCTTAAGCTGTGCCAGGGAAATTTAAGCTGGACATTACAAAGAAATTCTTCACAGAAAGAGTGCCTGGGCATTGGAATGGGCTGCCCAGGGAGGTGGTGGAGTCACCACCCCTGGAGGTATTTAAGAAAAGACTGGATGTAGCACATCGTACCATGGTCTCGTAGTTGACAAGGTGCTGTTCAGTCACAGGTTGGACTCTATGATCTGAAGGGTCTTCTTCAACCTAGTTAATTCTGTGTGATTCTGAGTTAGAAGAAAACACACATTTTTGTAACTTGCACACTGGAAACCAAAGAAACTCGGTACAAACCAACATACAATCATATGAATCTTAATGAGCTTGGGAAAAACTAAAGAGCTAATTTTCCAAAGCTTTATGGAAGAGTGAGAGTTCAACTAGGTGGCTTCTGTTGAGCAGATCAGGAACAGGTATGAACACTATGCGAACGGCTTCACGACAGATGTTAGCCGAGTACCTGAAAGGAAGTGTTAACCTGTTAGCTGTCCACATTAAAATCTATCTCCTGAAAGCAGCACACCAAAAGCCTTATGTTTTATAAAAAAATAGAAATATTAATAATTTCTTTGCCTTTAAAAAAAGTCTCTATTTCCCTATCTGCTGTTTGCCAATCTAATTCCAGGCAGATACACATATGCACTAAAATTTCCACATTAACAAGCCATTAATTCCTATCACATCTTTTACCAGCAATGGACATTGTCCTTACCTTGCCCCGAAGAGAGTGAGAGATGAAGATTAATATACTGAAAGTTGTTTCAGTCAGCTTAAAAAAAACAACAAAGCAAAAAAGCCTAAACTATATATTTTGGTTTTCAGTCATTTGTTTACCTCAAGGCTTCAGTCCAAGGGAAAAAACAACAATCCTGTGCCTACAATGTCAAGTAGGGGATTATTTTCAAATAAACTTCTCCCTTTTAAATGAAGCAATGTTCCTAATGATACAGAAAACCTGGAAGGTTAATTAATTAAAGAGGTATTTACCTGAAGGGAAGGACATAGAATAAAACCTTAACTAAAAGGCCTTCAATTCAAGACTTACACATTTTCTTCATTCCTGATAGCAGTGTTACCAGACCGCTACAGAAGTTTCATCTACTGTACCACATTTTCACATATGCAGGAGATTAATTCAACCACTCCATAATGTGATACACGTGATAAATAATTTTGCTGCTCCATGTAGTTTCAAGGCTGGCAGATCTGTGCATTTATACCATGATTAAATGGGACTGTACGAATAAAGCGAAGGGTAACATGCAACTTTTAGATGCACAGCATTTCAAGGACAAGTTTGCATAGTCTATGATGCAAGCAAGGTCCCAGTATCCTTCACTGGGAACAGTAACTGGGATGGAGTAGCTACCAGGCACACAGACTTACCCTTTCATGGCTAGATGGCATATAGTGACGAGCTGGAATACCAGTGTTTCTTAGGTAGCTGTTTCCTCCTTTTTTTCTTATCCCATGTAATTTCACTCTCACATTAGGTACATAATGGACAATGTTTCTCTGATGTCAGAGAATTAATTATAATAACCTCTGTGGTACATCAGAAGTCTCTTCTAGTTACAACACATATAAAGAAAGTGGAGGTGACTGGGAAGAAGATGGCTGCTCCCAAAAGCTAGAACTGTAGGCAAATTCCCCACAGAGTCCTATATAATTACAGGTCAGAAACAGGAAACAATCACAACAGGTACATTTCTTTCTTACGGATTAAGAAAAGTGAGTCATAGGAACTGCAAGTCAAGAACAAACCAGTTTCCCTCTCACACTCCCATGATAGTTCTGAGTTACTTGTTTCCCTGAATACACACTTTTAAAAAAATACAATAAAACCTAGGATATGTAACACATGAATAATTCAACTTCACAGTTATAAATACTCAAATTACACTTACATAGAATATATAATCACAGAAAATAAAATTCAAGTCATAGAAAAGAATGAAGACTAAAGGGAAAGAAAAGGCAAGGTGGTAAAAGTGATACAAGTTCAGGGCTGTGCCTTCTATAAAAGATCATTAAAAGCAGAAGTCAAGTTTTGTTGGGTTCTTTTTTCATTTTGACTGGGGAGTTGTTGCTGTTTTTTCTTTTTAAATTGGATAGAATAAAAAACAACCTTCAAGCATCCATGAAGTAATCATTGACCTGCACCTCCCACTACAACACTAAAACCACCGTGTTTGCCAGAGAAGAGCCAATGAAACAACACAGCCAGCTCTGGGTGTAAAGAAGCAAAGAGCGCGTGGCTAGTGAAGGGAAGACAGATAGAAAGTCATATTGGGGCCCACTTTAAAGCTAGACGTGTTGTACAGGCTTGAGGTACCACTGCCACCACAGTAAAGTCTGATGTAGTACAGGGATACTCAGGTGCTTTTCTACACATTTGTTATTTTACCATTTATTGTGAAGAGGATGCAGCAAATGCACTTGTACGAAATACAGAACATAGAACCAAACCCATGGCACAGCCCTTACCATCAACATGTATATGGAGAGGGAGGGGATTAATCCCAAAGGCAATTTAAATAATGGTATTTTATATACTTATATTTATATATATAAATAAATGTTCTCAGCAATCTCAGGGTTGTTTTTAGTGCATTGCTGTAAAAAAATTAGTGCAGTTCTCATTAATGTTTAGCTCATAAGGAATAAGAATCTATACATCTGTTCAGTCTCTTCTTGCCACACCTGAAACCCTTACACTGTTTCACCAAACTGAAGGTTTGTAGTCAATGTCATTAAAATAAGGTGGATGAATTCCACGCACTCTGTGACAAGACATGGCAATTTTTGGCAAAACAATTAGAAAAATATGAGGTGCTCTGATCTTAGAACTGAAAAGTTTGTTGATTTAAAGCATTACGCAATGCATAACAAAATTTATAAACAAAAGATATGTCTCAACAAATCTATCCTTCATGCAAGTGTTTCTTCAGCAGCTAACAACTTAAAAAAATTTCTTACACTTGTTTATTTGGGGAAAGGGACTTAGACAAATCTGTGTTTCAAGTCCTTTCCTACAACCGGACCAAAGTTTTGTGTCCTGGGAGCTGCTTCTTCTGGACCCTTCTCTCTTCTGAACCATTGGAGAAGGGGAAGTTTCAGTCTAAAGAGATTTATACTTCAGCCCCAAGTTCAAGGACTCCAGTTTCAACAACAGCAACATATTTATCTTCAATTTGAACCAGCAGGATGGTTTTATCTATATGTGACCGACTACTTGGATCTCTGCTGCAAGGCACCCAGCGGTGAATCACCTGGGGGGGGGAAAAAAAAACAAAGTATAATAAACATAAGCTCCAGGGGGAGAGCTGTCATATCAAAGTTATGGCTGATAACTCAAGACCCTTGCAGGGCCAAAGAAGTAAAAATACAGGTGCTATACTGATTTAGTTGCCCATTTTTCAATGACAGCATACCCACAGATAAGCTGCACATTGAAGTCTTCCTGAAGATCTGCAGCTTAAAATTGCATTTAGGTCTTTTACAACCATGAGAGCAGCCAGTCTGATTTAGATTTGTGTAGGAACAAGCAACTTTACCCAAATTAGAATCAAACAGTTCATCCAAAGTGAGCAGCAACTGAAAAAAGTGCACACAGATTTGGGATGTTTTGATGCTCTATTTGTAATAATCTTAAAATACCTCAGTGATGTGCAGCACAGAACTGCTGTTTACCAGGAGTCACGTGTAAACTACTTGTCTCTTGCAAGTTAAAGCTCTTGCCCTGATTTTGTTACCTATGCACTGTGAATTCAATGTTGATCCTCTAAATCAAGTTATTCAAAGATAATTTAAAATTAAAAATATTACAAAGAAGAAGGGGTTCAGAAACAGTGCTACAAATTATTGTACCATACTCCCTTGTATCTATAGAATTCAAGTAGTTTGATCTGCTAGTTCCAAGGATCCTGCCTGATACTGACTACCAGAAGGTCCCTTTTTAATACCTTGTATGTCTCTACTCATCTGTCCCCTTAAAAACACACCCTTAACTTCTGGGTGCCCCAAAGGAACCGTAAGGATGCCTCATTAACATGGGTATAAGTATCATCAGTTTCACAGAAATCAAATTATCTCAACTTTTCCAATTGTGGTAAAAGAACCCTTAATTCAAGACAAAGTAAGTAAAACTAATTTTTACAAATTCCAGAGCAGTGAAGTTTTCAGGAGTCCCAAAGATATAAAGGGAAAAAAATGTCAGAAAGCCACAGTCTTCCAAAATAAAATCCAAGAGATTCACTTAATCTTCATTATATACAGATGGCTATTTCTCGCTGTATGGAATGAGACCAGGAATATCTTGTCCCCAGACACAATAAAACATTTTCCAATGAAGTCCCAAGTACAACACCCTTGCTGTCCAATTTAACACCGGTGCCTTTGAGATAGCTACAGGTGTCAATATCATGGCTCCTTGAAAACTGTGTATATGCAAAGAGTTGTACACAGATTAAAACTCATCACTGCCATATTGCCACTTTGCACATACTGCCATATTGTCCATTTTACCATCTCTTCTATCATGACTGGCATTTATTTGGTACATGCAAAATGATGTCATTAGGTAATCAGGAGGTGGTAAGAATCTCTTGGAGGAAAAGGCTTCTTCTACACCCCAGTACCATGCATCATAATGCTGGGCATGCCCTCTCAAAACCTGGAAAAAGTAGTTACATTCCAAAGAAAACTATTTCCTTGAAGAAACCTTATAATGTCTTTCTGCCTTATAGACACATTGCACTGCATACTTAGCAAGATAAAAAGCTAAGTTAGGAAAAATGTTTTTTTCTATGTAGCAGCAAAGTTTTAAACTACTGAGTACTGAACTTCATACTGAGAGCAGACATAAGGTAAACGGCTTAATGAGCAGCAACTCAGCAGGTGAGAATAATTTCTGCCTATTTGCAGAAGGGACCACAGGCACAGGATCACAGAGGGGAAACTGTCCTAAGAGCTTCATTGATACTAGTATGTTTAACCACAGGCAGCTGAAGCAGGCAGTTGAAACTATGTCATCAAGTTAAATCCTTTCCTCCTAATCACACACAGGATAATCTGGTGCTTTCCCCCCTTTCTTGTTATGCTACAAGATGCTCTTCTAAAAAAACCTGCTGATATGTTGTACCAAAAATAGATGAGAAACATTCAGAACAACAGCTTATTCTGACCTTTGAATCCTCTTGTTTTAATCTTTCCATAGCATCAATCACTGGACATGTCAGCATGCTGCAATTCAAAAAACACTCACTAAAGCCTGAAAAAAATTGTCCAGTGATACCAGGGAAGAGGACATGTTTCAACATAACCCTTTACATTCACCATCTTTATCACATTCTTGATCTGCAACAGTATGTCTAAACCCAACATAACTGGGAACATTTGCAACAGTATTCTACTCACAGGTGTTACCTACAATGTAACCCTTCTGTTCTAATCAACCCTAGTAGATTCCTTCCATGAATAATTGTGTTTCCAGGGCCTTTTCTTCATGTAGATGCAACAGCAAGGTAGATACAGCATACGCTGTTTTACTGGCATATTTTTACTCCTTACCTGAAGTTGGCACATATATCCACAGTGAAGTGGACTTTCAAATGGCAAAATCTATCCCTAATAGCCATTTATAAATAATGCCTCCAAATGAGGTAAGCAAAGAAATTTCTTCCAAAATGATCTATTTCAAATTAAATTTGTACTGTATTGATGAACAAATGCAGACACAGTGTCAGTGACTCTTCCCTCTATCACTGAAAGAATACTGGAGCACCTTTACAGACATAAAGATCTTAAAAAAGAAAAAAAAAAAAGGTACGTTTCAGTAAAAATCAAAAAGCTTCAAAGACCACACTGGGTTTCTTACTCTTAAAAGGAGCCTAAATTGGGAGATAAGTTTTCTAGCCAATGAAGTGAATGTTTGTAAACTGCAGATAGGGAAGAGACAGAATTTCAAGTCATGGGCTTTCACAAGTTTTAGTTAGAACAGATTTCCTTCTAAAGGAAACATCTATTATGTATCTATTATATAATGAAAAGACATCTAAAGACAATCTTATTTGGCTCTATTTTGATCAGAATAATTTAAAACCAAATACTGTTAATCTTTCAATTAAGGACTTGTTAGTAAATTGATCTTTATTTGTTCAGAGATTGAGTTTCAAGAAAGGAAAAATGAATGTTGGATGAATGACAGCAATGCCTGAGAGATCATGACAAGCTGAAAGAAGGCAAGGAAGGAGTGGCGTCTGACAATACTTGAAACATCATCCTGCATCTTTTGCACAGAGTTGCAGAAATAGTTCTCTGCCTCAAAGTAGGATTCTAGACCTGCTCTTCCAGCAACAGTGACTTTGAGGACAGCTGCTGATCTGACTTATCCCCTACATTGATCTTTGCACTGACACATAGGCAGAATGCCACAGAATCAAGACACTGCCTCCTTTAAGGTTAGCTTGTCAACTTCCAAGCAAAACTTACATGGCCTTCCATGCCTTCCTGAGGACTCCAGTCTTTCCAGCTGTTTCTTCCAGCCTTTAGCCGTATCACCTCATCTGGCCACTGCAGCTCTTTCCTTTTTGACACGTTGATCCCTTCCAGTACTTGACTGGGATCCATTAACTACAAGTAGGAATTGAGTTTTGACTGTTAGTTCAGCCAAAATTTAAACGAAACAGATAAACTGTAACCTTTTGCATCATTCCAGGTAATTGACTTCAATGCACTGAAATTGATTTCTGACCAATTTCAAGGTTGGAAACTTGAGGTCCAGGCTCTCCAGGCCCAAACAGCACTAGATTTGGAAATGATGCTGTGGTTTCAGACACAGCTGACAATATGCCAGTTCACTGAATCAACAGCTCTGGTTCCCTTCCCCACTTCTTTCAGTTATACTAGGTCATGGCAGGGTTGGGGAGCTGGCACAACAAAAGCATTGGTAGCACACAGTCTAGTAGCAGGGAAAAGTTAAGTGATGATGAGCTGTTAAAATCGGCTCATTCCTTCCTAGAGAATATCTTAAGAAACTTGGGGAATTCATTGTTAGGCAGAAGAAGTATTTATCTACTAGCATGGTTAGTTGAGACCCACCCTGTGTTTTGAAGTGAACTGGCCTTTCCACAGGGTAAGCAGGAGAAAACTCCTGAAAAATTCTTCCCTTTTAAGGACAGAGAGAACTTCATTATGTCCACTATCCAAGGGCACATATCCATTTTATCCTCCCCACACAGAGGATTAGTAAACAGCTTCTTAAAAGGGCCCTTGCCTGCAAACAAAAGCTACAGACCTGAAAAATGAATTTAATTTTGCCCACTATGATGCAATTTACTAAGGATTACTCTCAACTGAGGTGGCAGCAGCAATGAAATCATGTTTATTATGATCTAACCTCTTAAATACACTTCCTGAGGTCTCCCACAAGTATAATGCCAAAGAATGTGTGTGGGGCTAATAAAAGCTAAGAAAGCAAGAATACACATTTCTGGATTTTCACAGAACAAGTAAGGCTGCCATGATTAACTTAATCAACAGTGAAATATTTGCTGCTCAGTAAACCCTGAAGTGGATATAACCAAAGAATAAATACATATGAAAGTGAAAGCAAGTATTTTTACACTTACTTTTGTAGAAAATCTACTCGGCTTCAAAGAAAAAAAGCTTTCTACCCTGCAAATGAAGCTGTTTAGCTTTACCTACTATAATGTATAAAAGGTTAAATAAAGTGGAACTGGGTTCCACTGACATTCTCAGAGCCGCACTACAGCAAAACAAAAACAATATAAACAAGGAACATGCAGGAAGGCTGCTTGTCCAGAAAACCTTTCCTTTACATTAATTCTCCAAACACAGCTGCACAGAAACTGTACATCAGATATTCCAGAATGTGTATTTGTAAGTAGCGATTTCAACAACACACAAAGGAACAACTAATAAAAGCATGTGGAAACACAAGTTGTTCTTCTAGACTATTCACCTGGATTCTGTAAATAACGTCATCCTTTTTGGCTTGCATTTGATTTGCAGGGCTTGCACTGCCACCTGACTGAGTTTCAGCTGCATTACTCCCTCCTTCTGTCCCTAGAAAGCCCACAAGGGCATGCTGTTTACAGGCTGGGATGCTTTGGCTGGAGCTGCTAGAAGAGGGCAGTCCATGCTGCACGCTGACCCCAGTCTGGCCAGTAGGTTCCATTTGGTTCACCATAGAGAGGCGGGACTGGATGGATGATGGGAGGTTACGAAGGGATATCTGACTGGTGGAAGAGCGCCGGCAAGGCACAAAGCCTGTGGTGGATGTGCGGAGAGATGAATGACGGCTGCCGTAGCAATAGGATGAATGGCTAGCTACTGAGGCACGGGCAGGGGAATGTCTGACAAGGCTGGACTGCACAGAGTGAGAGCTGTGACTGGTGCCTAAAAGTAAAAGATACAGAATCAGGAAAGTTCGATAAAGCCTCCCCCACACAATAGACTGCCAACACACAAATGTTTTAGTGCACAGATACACAAAAGTGATTGGTCTAACGAACATCATCTGAAACAGATGTTTTGCAGAAATCTCTGCTGCATCTCACATAGCAGAACATTTCAATACATTCCATTTATCTTATCTCAGAATTTCATATTCTGTTCAATTCACAATCTCTATCAGACAAGTATCTTGAAAAATGCTTCAGTCTTGCACTCTCTGCATTAACAATTCCTTACTTAATATCAGCACTTCAGTTCACCATTCTTAAGGCAGTAAGACAGGTACAGATGCCCATGTTTCAAAATACTGACTATTCTTTCTTAATATGCTTGATTACACATTCAAAGATTGTGTCAGAAAATTTGTTAGAACAAAAGCTCTTTTAAAAAAGTTGAAATTTAATACACTTAAAGTTAAAAACAGAAAACGCAGTTCATGCGTATTGGTGTAATTATTTTTCCTATACTAAATATTTGCAGATACCTCTCCTCAGCTGATAGATCTAATTATGTTCATTTGGCTACATACATCTGTATCTTCTTTGTGAGTAAAGGCAATGTTTGAAAGACTTTTTCTCAGCTTTAGTATTTTTCACCTCCTTAACTACAGATCACTATGGACGCTTGGGTAGATTCAGCTAGAATACAGTGCAATTAAGAACTTGTTTCATTGCACAAAAAAAAAATATAAACATCCCCCAAAGAACGATGAGTTTAGCATTTGCAAACAATGCAACAGAAATGAAAAGATCCAGTCTGTTATAAAAAGCCTGTTATAAAAAGTTATTTAATCTATTTTGTCAGCACAACTACACCCTTATTTATCAGATCTGTTTGTGAACCTTGTATTGCATAAAACTGTACTGTAGTCGAAGAAGAATCCAACAGCTCTTAACACAAAATCACGTCACATTTGTTTGCTTTTTCTTTTAACTTAGGCCAAAGAGCTGAAAGGCCTGCTCTGGCTATAGAGCTGAACTTGTATGAAGCTGTTTCCTTGTTTTAACTTTACCCAGTGTGGAGGGATGAGTTGGTGGATGAGCTGCAGGAAAAGTTGTGGGATGAGCTGCAACAGGAGGGTGCTGTACTGCTCCAGGTCCCTGCCCTGTAGTTGCAGTCCCTCCTCCTTGGGACATGCTGCTCTGTGACTCATTGATAGTTGCATTGTTACTTGTGCAAGAAGCTCCACCTCCAGCATCTGAATCTTCAATATTTCCACCACTATTGCAGCCAGCTCCACAGCCTTTCCTTAGTCTGGAAACATAATGCAAGTGATACATTAAGGCACACCTCCTAATCATTAGGATTCTAAGTGCTTCATGACAAGCTTTACTCAGCACAATCCACAGCACTTTCTAAAATCAGTTAAAACTTGACTTTATTTTCTCAGAATATGCTTTGCAAATATAAACACTGCTTTCTACGAGATTGCAATTTTCTTCATGACAGCTTCATTCAGTAACAGTTATTTATGACAAGTCAAATGCTCATATAAATTAGCTTTTTTAAAATTATGCCACCTCTGAAGTACAGTGAAGTGATAAAATTCCAACTCAAATGCTCATAGAACATCCTAGCTATTTTGGAAGAGTTCAGTAAAACTCATGCTACTTAACACAGTAGTCATATGTAACTGTTACGCTGCAAAAGCTTTGTCGACACAGACAAACAAGGAAAGAATGTTGGCTGTATTTTAAACGTATTTAGTTTCTGTTGTGTTCAGTAATGCACCCACAGTAGTTTGAAGCACATACTGAACATTCAGACAGTAGGATTTGTAGTAGCCACCATTTTCCAGTACACATAACCATATAGTTTTTTCATCACATTGTTTACACTAATAAACAAAATACTTCAAAAAATTAGTTTACACTAATAAACTTCAATACTTCAAACAGACACAAAAACCACAGCACATTTCTTCCTCCCTTCAATTCCTACTTTTTTTCTTTTCTGTCACACTCAAGTACACTGAGCACTCCTTTCCAATTTTTTTTTTTTTTGTCCCAGGACCAGAATCCTGAAGCATAAACACCTTGGATTCAAATACTTGTTGGGTGTCATGCTTTCACCTGTTATTCTATTAAGTTGGACACGCTGATGGCAATAGGAGACAAACACCACAGACTGCAGTAAATGTGGTATTTTTGGCACTCTGGGTGAAGCAGCATGTTCTGTTCTGATATGCTATAGAAATCTAAGATAAACACAACTATCAGAACAGCTACAGGACTGTTCATACCATGGCACCAACCCCTGGAACTACTAAGAATTGCACATTAAGAAATGCACATTTCTGAATGCCACACAGCTGCCACTGTTGCTTTTGGAGCCACATTAATTGAGGGCCAGAAGTGCAATGAAAGTTCTCAGAGCCTATAAAACACAGCACAGCAAGAGTTTGTACTGGATTACCCAGGAGTCACATGGAGAAATTATTGTTTATTGTATCATTCCAGTTACTTGTTCTGGCACTAACATACAGCATTATATAACATATAAGCATCTGTGAGATTTTGAACAGCTAAAGCTTGCATAACTACATTTGAGCCTGCTCTAAAACATGAATATAGGCACTTTCATGCTAAATATCTGTCAGACAGGAACCCTACCAAACAGTCCTGATTCTGTAAAGATGGCATTATAGACTGCAGAAGCCATCATACTGAAAAACAGTACAGAAATTTCATTGTCTCTCAATATCAGACCTAACATTAGATCTGAAGTTGTAGTTCCTGCATCTAGACTTCGTCCTCTTTCGCCTGAGCTCTCATTTACATAGTTTGTGGTCTATTACTCAGCCTCGAAGATTAAACCCTGTACCAAAGCAGTTGTCATATGTTACTGATGTGCCTGAAGTAAAAGTCAAGATTTATTTTGATGTGACTCAATATTATAAATTACACTGTGCATGACTAATTAATGGAATATGAGAGCATGAACACATACTAATGAGAACCCATTTCCTCAGCTCACCTGTGCCATGTAGACACTATGAAGTTTCTGATGTTTCCTAAGCTGATGGCTCCCCCAAGAATGTCTTTCAGCTGTTCGTGACTATCTGAATAGGAAGTAGTCAAAGGAGAGACATAGATTGGGTATCCAATTGGCTGGTCACAAGAGGAGTTGATCATGTTCCTCAGAGCTTGTTTAGCGTTTTGGATACTTCCTCGTTCTGGATTACGATTACGCAGGAAGACAAGCTCCTGCTGTTGTCCTGCCCACAGGCCACGTACACACTCCTTATTGACCTGCAAAAGCCAGAAGAGAGGCTGTGTCAGAAAGTGAAGCAACGAGAGCAAGTGGTGACTTGTGTTATACCAAAGCCTTTGTACGCACATACAGGATTGCACTACAGAACTGCCAGCATTCATATGCAGTTCTTTTACAGGCTGAACTTAGGGACTTTTACAGGCTGCAATAGTGAGGATAAACAAATCTAAGAATGAGATGAGAAATAACATTTTAAGTGAGAAGGAACTGATTTTCTGATACAATACTTGCACTGTTTGAGATGAACCAGCCTGATTAATAGCAAACCAGTAAATATTTCAGTTGAGGCAGCAGTTTGGTATAGTTATTAAAATACACCCCAACTTGCTGTCACATTGTAAAATGTACACAAAGCTCACCTTAATGACCCTGAAACTGAGATAGCGCTTATTGAGCATAATGATTTTATATTCATTGGTGCCATCATCCATCACGTGACGCAGAGCAAGAAGGGACGGAGAATTGGAAAGAACTGCGCTCCGCCAAGCAGGGTCCCCTTCGTGTGCTATAACTAGATTTTCTTCATGAGTTGTTATAGCTTCATAAAGGACAGAAGGATCATCATATTCATCCGGAGAAGTGAAGTGATCCTGTTTCAAATAATACATGTTCAATAAGGTATGATTAATATTTCAGATGTAACTACATACAAAAATAGAACATCTCACACCTCAGACTTTTGAAATGATCAGTGCATTACACAAAGTTAGCTATCAAAAGTATCAAACATCTACTTTAGAACACTGTTAAAGACGACTTTTTACAACAGATTGGTTCTGTTTGTTGGTGTTTACTTCTTTTTTAACTTAAAACCAAAATTATTAGTAGGACCTGCCTATCACTGATTCAAGTACATTTCTAGGTGAATTTTACACTAGAGATTCATATCTATACTGTTGGCAGAAGCTTTTTAGTTTTACCTTCTCTTCTTATAAGCTTCCAATTATAAAACACACTTAAAGCACTGATTATTCACTGAGACTGTAGTATATGAAAATAGTAATAAGAAAAAAACCAATATTCACTATTAAAATGTTCACATTAATACTTGATGACAAACTTTTCAAGCATCAGATACTATCAAGACACATTACAGCCAGTCAGATAAAAACACAAAACCTGCAAATTCAATTCAGTATTGGGTAACATTACTTTCAGGTTAAAAAAGGATTGTGATTAACAGCTCAATTTCCACACTGACTGAAGCCTATGTACATGCACTACAATAAAATCAGCTTTCATAGACTAACAGAATAATGTTCAGAACTTTCATTTTTTCATAGTTAGTGTGATCTGTTTTTTTCTCACTTTTCATTCTCTGACTTCAATCAAACACATTCTGCACAATAACCCTCTGAGAACACTCAGAGTGCTGTTCAAGTGGTACTTCTGCTGGTTTCAACAATGATTTGGTAATTATTCTGCTTTGCTACATGTACTCCTAACACACACATTCTCCTAAATTCAGAGAGTTTGTGTTACATAAGTGAGTTAATTCAATCACTGCTAGTTTTGGGGGACTCCAGACTGCAATGAAGGCAAAAAGAAAATGAAACTTTAATAGTAATTTTTAAACTGCAACTAGGATTTGTTTACTTATTATGATTTTCAAGCAATATATCTTTCCTGAGTACCAACATTTCTCCTCCCTTATAGAGTGCTTATCACTAAGTACATGTTTTCTTGTACTTGCTGAGTTAATACATGTGCTGGACAGGATTTGAGACCCTTCATCTTCACCTGCACTTCACTACAAAGACAAACTCTAATTTCAGCTTATGGAAAAGCAACCTTCTCATTCTCACCTGAAACCTGTGATTACAATACTTCAAAGTAAAAAGAACAAGAAAAGCAACTCCCACTGGAGGAGAGGACTATGCAGCTTTGAATGCATAACCTTTTAAACCAATTACATATGTGTAGGGAGGGAAAAGAGAGGGAAAATATCAGAGAAGATGTTCATAAGGGAAATCTCTAGTAGGTATGAAATAGGGCTTGACATGTTCTCTGATCTACAGTTAATGTAATTTTCAAGCTCTGAGCATAAACAGCATTCCCTGTTCCTCTGTATCACCTTCCACAAAAGCTGTAATAAATCAAAGGACAAGACATGATACTCCCTCGTTTTCAGCTGTCAATTTCTATCACAGTCCTTTTATTCTCATCCTCTTTTTCCTTTCTCCCAGCCACTAATTTTTAAAAGAACAAATGTACAGAAGTAAAAAATTGGACACATCTTTCTGTGTCATCTCTCACTTGATGTAGCTTCAGTGACATCCGTATTCCAGGGACCACTACTTTCCTCAGTAATTCCATGTCAGCAAAGATCCATTCATCTCTAATTGAAGATATACGGAAGTCACCCTTAAATAGGGCATGCAGACCATACAAGAAAGATTCCAGGTTACTGTTGAGGGGGAAAAATATGAAAACAACCCAAATATTAACAGAAGTACAAACATATCCACAGTTATCACTGAAAAGAAACTACTGAGCTGCACAGAAAGGCACACAATTCCTCTCTATCAAGGTAAGCTACAGGATAAGACAGGGAAAAGATGTGTGTGTAAGAAAATTTGATACATCAGATGTCTACCTGCACTGAACAGGTAACGAACAAACTACACATGCAACAAATTATTTACATGGACTAATGCAAACAAATATAAGGAGTGCCTGATTTCATTCTGAAGACTTTTAAAGGCAAAACTTTTCAGGGTATGTAACACAACAGACCAGTTAAAGAGGGTATGCAACTTCAGTTGTCCATGATTTAGTACAAAATAAAAATCTTGTCAAATTTTCATGCTTAAAAGGCACTGTTTTCAATTACTAAGCTAACTTAAGAGTGAAAAACCAAATATGCTCTGATGACTCTTGCAACTCTATGTAACAACCTTCAAGATGCAATTGGCTGGTACTTAGAAGAATTACTCAACAGTTGCACTGAAATTGAAGTAGAACAGGTTTTATAGTCAGCATCCAGCTGACCAATAGCTTCCACATCCAATTATGCTTCTTTTTAAAAACATCACTTTGTCGTTTCCTGAATGTTATAGCTATATTTTTTACACTTGCTTTCTAAAATTGAGGCTGTCAGTCTGCAAGAAAGTTGCCATATGATAACAGAATTGAACTAAAGATTTTTATAAAACACAACTGCTTCCCACAGAGCCAGGTAAACTGTGAAACTTACTACAATGGTCTCATCTAACATCCACCAAGACATATCAGTTTTTCATTTTAAGAAATTTTCCTCTTGTTCCCCTTACTTCCATAAAGGACATCTAGCTGGCAGGAAATGAAGCTTACTTTTAGAACTCACTCAGTTCTAAACTGGTTAAAACCAATCCTTACCCGTACCAGAACTCCCATCTTGAATTAGTTCAATAAAACAGTATGTTTAGCTGCAAGTTCTCCCCCATTTGCTTTTCTTTACATACATTTCACTGGCTGTTGTAATGAAGACAAGTTACACAGCAAATCTGCCCAGTTTAAGGAAAGATGGTGTTAATTATCTTTTTCTTCTATGAAAAGATACTCATCTAAAACTAATCTAAGAACTCAGAGGGATTTTGAAGATAGAAAGCTTACAGCAGCGTTTTATTACCTAGACATATGATGTGAAGCTGTTCCCAATGCTCTCCGCCCCAGAACACACAGTCCATAACACAATGTCACTAGGGGTGAGTCTTTACTTGAATCCAGTGGCTTGTAATAACAAAAGAAAAAATAATAGGTGAATGGATTAAAGAAATGGTTACTGAAAAAGAAGATTCTGCCAGGAGGAGTAAAAAGACCCAAACACAGCAGTTTCAAGTGTGTGTATGTACCTACCACAGCAGTCACTCCTAAAAAAAGCAATTCTTATTCAAAGTCTGAGCAAGAGTTTTACAAGTACCTAAAAATACTTGCAAAGGTAAACACACATGATTTGCAATAAGACAAATTTTAAGCTAAATAGATGCATGCTACATTCCCTATGGTGTGTATCTTGCAGGCACACTGCTGATTTGCTAATTATGGGGTTTAGACAAAAGTATTTTCAATGAATATAGTGGATTATCACAGGTTAGGAATATGCAAGCCTGATTTACCTGACAACTTCCCTGGTCTATGGCTTCAGTCAAGGGGTTAGTTAACAGAGACAAGCCCTCAGCTCAAAGCCGAAGTTCAAAAGTATAGCTAGAGTATATAATGCCCTAGCAAATGGCATCATTCAATTAAGTGATTAAACCTGATTTTCAATACATGTACAAAGTATTTCATGTTCATTTCTTGGAAGGAAATAATTTTCTTTGGATTTTGTTGGTCCTTTGATCACAGGACACTAAGTCTTACCCCTGTTAAAATGGGCTTTAACTGATCTTTTACCTCCAAAGCAAAACCGAACCCTTAAGTCTTGGATCCCTCAAACACATAAATTCCAATTTAGTGTCCCTTTAATCTCAATCACTTTCTCCTTATTTTCAAACACTAATTTGACACAGTTATTTGTTATAAACAGTAAAATGTCAAGGCATTCATCTACAAACATACTAATGCTCCTATTCAAAAGGTGGAATGATTGTGAAAAGAAGAGAAGGTTGAATAATGTATGACTGTTTTCACAAGCCAAGAATTCCAATGGTCCAAAGGAATGATGTAATGTGAACACTGAGAAAGAAGTGAGTCTGATAAGCTGGAAACAGTATCTTGGGTTTCAGGGATTTTTGTTTTGATGTTTAAGTTAGGGGTGATTTGTGAATACTGATATCTAAGTACAAAACATCAATTCTGCAGACATACCCTTCTGCATGTAGATAAATGTCTAAGATTCAACTGGTTGATTTGAGCTGGCAAAAAAAATTCATTAATGAATTGGTTAAACAATACACTACTTACAGAATCTATTAAATTTACACGTCAAAAAAAAAATCTGCATTAAACCTATCTGTAAGTCAAACCAACAGGAAAAAAAAAGTGACAGCATCCTAGAATAGTGAAGGGCTTTCCTCACATACTTACCTTCTCTCTTCGAGAGCAGCAATATTCTATCCAGTTCAAATATATCATACAGAAGCTCTCTCGTGAGATCCCTGCCAGACGGTGGTCATAATCCTCATCAATATTGGGGTTAAATGTTGGGTCTACATCCACATAATTGCGGTCTGTGCACAGCCGCAGTCCTTCCTGCATTGTCTCGTTAGCTAGCCATTCCTCTAGCTTGGGAGATGTTGTGACATAATAGATGATTCCCTGAAACAGTAGCAGTTAAAAATATGAGTCAACATTGCAATTAAAAAAATCCCGGGCAGCAATGTCAATTGTTTCAACTTATTTGCGTTATTTTTGCGAAAATTAATGAAAATTACACACATCGTTTTATACAGCTCACAGGTACAACAGATTTGCACAGAAAACACTAAATAGGTGGTGTATAGGAGTGTTTTTCAAAGTCTGTCAGGATTTCTGAGGCCTACACTGAAGGAGTAAGGAAAGGAAAAAAAGGATGGGATATGATCCTCACTGTAATTTTTGTGGAAAAGAAATACATTAAATTTTTTATTTCGTTAACATGGAGGGTTAGATACTAAATTTCTAAAGAACTCTAAATTAAAAAGAAAACAAAACACGAAACAGTTTAAGACACCTGTGCTAGGAAACACAACTTGTGTGCATGTGTGAGTAAGTATCTTGGAAATATTTTAACCTGAGAATTTTCAGCTCTCAGAAAGAGGGTAGTTTATGAAAGATCTCAATTAGTACAATGATTATCCAAAAGGACCTGAGGCCTACAGTCATCTTAAAACTGGAGGAGAGGGCTTGTTTCTCTTTTAAGAACCAAAGATGGGTTTGGACAGCTTATGAAGACCAAAGCAGCTCAGCTTTCTCTAAAGAAACAAACTACCCAACTTTCCATTTACAACAGAGCTACTGTATCTGGGTAACAGTTTTAAAGTTTTTATTCCAGCTTCAGCTAGGAGGTGCCCTCTCTCTGATATGGAGTGCAGGGTCATTGTCCTGCTCATGCATCAGAGTACTGAGTCACCATCAGTACAAGGAACTCCTTCCTCCTCTTGTACATCTGTAATTATCACCTCATCCTATGATCCTCATGTGAGAGACAGTATGAGCTCAAGACTCTGAGCAGTTCCCAGGTGCAGCCCAGCTGGCCTCCCCCCACAGGCTGCACTGAGCCAAGCCACACCTTCACGTAGTAAGTGGTGAGAATTTTCCGGAGATCAAAGACTTGAAGCATGGAAGCTGCACTGTTGTCAGTGATGCTGTAACCCTCCAGAACATACTTTGTTACAAGCACTTCCCAAGCCAGCCAACGCTGCCCAAAGGCAGCATTAAAGGAAAGCATGTGAGGAAGGTGGCCTGGTTCACAGCAACAAAACCCTTCATCTTCCTCTACACCTTCAGTGATGGCCTCTACTTCTCGTTGCTGACAGTAAGTTCCTTAGGAGAAAGCAGAGAAAAGAAGAAAGAATTGAATGCTTTATACGATTGGTTTAATGTAAACTTGTGTTTGGAAGACTAAAATTCAACCTATTTCCGATTAAATTATTTTAACACTAAGTGAACTATCTGCCAACAAACACCAAAGATTTAGATATCTTAATTTATCACTCTAGGACCCCATTTTAGTTACGTTTCTCTAAAAAGTAGCCATGTTGCAACTAAAATGGAAAGAGGGACTTAGCATCAAGTGACAGGAGCATTGAGACTCCCTGAAGCCCATTTTCAAAGCAAGTTATTAATACGATAAAACTGAAAATAATTTCAGTTTCCAAAGCAGAAGCCTACTTTTTAGCGCAGGCAGCTAGGGACATCTAAACACTCACCTCTGAATTCAAGCCCCCTCAGCTGGAAGGTGACCAAGCCATTTCCTATCTCTATAAGGTGTACTAGTGCATTGAGGTAGTCAGAGGCTAGGATGAAGCAGTCCCCAGTACTGTAGTTTCCCCAGCGACCCAACAACAAATCTCCACATAAGCTGTGCTGAAGGGAACGGGTTAAATGCTCATAGAAGATAGAATTCAGGTTGTTATCATCTGAACCTGCAGGAAGATTGGATTTAGATTATCTGAAACTGCAGAAAAACATCAAGCTTAAATGTCAATTATTACTTCACATTGAATCCTATCTTTTTCTTGACCACAATGCTGTTTCAAGGTCATACTCTACCCCCCACTCCCCCTTTTTTAGGGGACAACTATTCCAAAGGAATGTCAAGTGACATTTGTATTTTGAACCAAATTTTTTCTTCGTCACTCCTCCATTTTCCACATTAATCCTTCGGGTCCACTCATGCATCTCCCATCAACTTATTCAAGATAATGAAGTGCAAAAGCAAATGAGCACAGACATATCTTAGTGATGTCTGTTGTACTGGTCATTACCGTGATATTGAGATACCCTCACTGTTTAAATTATTCAAGAATAAAAAAGCAAAACACTTTAATGCCTGCTACTTTTATATATAAAAAGTAAAGCAATAACACAAACCTAAGAGTGAAATCAAAAAACTTATGGGAGAGCTTAAAGAATAAAGCAAGAGATGATGGAAGAAAAACTAACAGTAGACAAAGCAACAGAAATGTTGGGCATGGTTAGACGAGATTAGAGGGAAAACTGATCATGAATCCTATAAAAATTCAACAACAGCCATTCACATTTGAAAAAAAAAAAAAAGCCACAATAAAAAAAAATCACCCCTGAAAAAAAAAAGAAAGAAACCCACCAACCCACATCCCAAATGCCCCCCTCCCCCTCAACAAAAGTAACCCTCAAAAACTCCAAACCAACTACTAAAATCCAGCTAGGAGAGCTACCTGGATTCCGATCCAGCTGTGAAGCCAGTCTAGTATTTGAATGATCCACACGTTTTGTGCTGAAAATAATAAAGCATAATTAATACAAAATATATTACTGTAAGAATGTCTAAGGAAAGAAACTACTAATAAAGTGTTAAATATTCTGAGTGAAATAGTTTCTAAAAGTTTTTTTTAAAATAATTTTAGATGCATATTTGCTGCTCTTCTCATATGTAAAAATATTTTTATGTATGATTAGCATTTTAATGCCTAATAAAGTTTGTCCACAGTAAATAGCCATAGAATAATCTTGCACTTTAGATAAAAGTGCATATATTTTCTTAGGTATCATAAAAGCTTAGCTTTAGACCAGTTAAATCAGCACAGCTAACAATTCAACAGACTTTAGTGAAAGATTAATTTTTAGACAGTTCTTTCATTGTCTGAAATTACAACCATAATGCTTCCATCTAAGATTTGGAACAGTGCATTTAAATTGTTGTAATGTTAGATGGGAAATAAGAAATACCAGAAATATCCATTCAACTTGCCCTATGCAGTTTATATAATATTTTATTGATCTGACACACTACCAGCAATAGGGAGTTTGCCAGAAAGAAAACAAGCAAGAAACAAAGAAAACAAAAAGAAACTAATCAGACTTGAAGATTCTACTACTGATCCCACCTTGAACAAAAAACACATACTTTGAAAGTTTTTTGTATTAAGTTTAGCCAGTTTTGCTGTGAGCAAAACAGTAACTAACACAGGTAAAATACAGCTATGGAATGTTCCCCAAAATCTTTTTATACATAAACTCTCTTTTTGATTAAAATTGCACTTCACAATACCATAAATTCCATGTTTAAAAACACCAGTGTGGCCATACCTCTAAGTAGAAATTACTTAAGCAGCTGAAGCAAATGATCCTAGTGTAAAAAACAGCTGCTACAGTATTTCAGAAACAAGTTCAGTGAAAACTTTCAGTGCTTTATACTAGTTTTCTGAGGGAAAAAAATAGCAGAAATTTTCAAGTTAAAAAAAAAAAACAAACGAACAAAACCCCCAAACCAACACTTCAGACGTATCTATTCTATTAAAAACAATTTTTTTTCAACTTGGTTATTTCACCTACTTGTAGTCTCTTTCCCAGAATTTGACAGGCCTGGCATATGAAGTGATGAATATTGCACTTCCCAGAAAAGGATTCAGTGGAGTAGAGAAGAAAGCTGACACAGCTGCTTGGACAAACAACATGGCAGAATCTGTAGGATAAGAGAATTAAGGAAAGCAAAGCAACAACTTTTTTCTTTTTTTAGCCTCTGTGATCATGTTCAGTACAGACAGCAACACCAACAAAGGGCCAAACAAGATCTCTATGAATTTCTATGCAGCAAAGTTGTTTCCAGTACTTCCAGCAATAAGAGGATTCTTTTTGTTTTTAAAAACAAATAGATGGAAATCCAGCACTAAACACAACAGTCATTCCCAAAAATTCTGTTGAAAATACTAACTCAATACTCCATTCAAAACAGCCTAGAGAAGTTTAAAATGCAAAACTCAAGGACTAAAATTATTATTAGTGATTCCTGTAAAAGTGAATGACCAGCAAAAGAAAAGCTGTGTGATTTTCAGAATTACTTCTGGTCCATGCTTCTTTTAAGTCAGGATGCTATCTCTGCTATTACCGTATAATTCATAGCATTGTAACAAGGCAGAAAGTGTGCACAGCTTCTTTGTAAATACTCACTAGACAAACCTGTTCTTTCAGCAGTTTTAGCCCATAACATAGAATCCACTATAAAGCAGTACTCAGAAGTTATAAATACACCACCTCAGGAGAAAGTTTGCATTTCCAAAGGATACGTGGCACAGCAAAGGGCTGGGCAAAAGCATGGAAGGCAGACCCCCATGTGATCTGCCAGGGAGCAATGTAGGTATATACAAATCTCAATTTATAAAAGAGTTCCCAAAGCTACAGGGGAAAAAAAAAGAGAAAAACAATTCAGTATTTTGGCTAACAATCAACATGTTTTGCATCCTGAGGCATTTGCTGGTCATCCTAGAGCTCTTACTGATTTACCAGAAGCTTTGAGACTTGGAGAAAGGATGTAATCGTAAAAGCAAGTAACGTGAGACACACCTCATTGTACTATGTACAAACTCAGGAGATGTTGAGAGAGTTACATATGGTTTCTCAAGCCAACAAATGTTTTGGGAAGGAGAAGTCTTAGTTGTCTTATAGCATATCTATTACAGTACATAAGACTGAGAATATGCAAGACTACGTATCAGAGAGGATTATCCGTTTTCCCCTTTGGATAAACTGAAACACCTAAAAACAGAGTTAAAAGTTACCTTGCTGAAGAGTATGGACATGAAGAAGAGATCTAGCAGCATGGTCTCAGTAAAACTTTTGTAATCAAAAGTAAAGAAGAGCACTGTGAAAATAACAGTGACATACTGGCACGTTGGGCTACTGAATGATGAACGCAGTAACTTCAAGCCAGCTATTGTGATCATTAAAGCACCCAACCTGTGTAAGGAAGCCACACAAGAGAGTCATTACCTGTTATCTGAAAGGGGTTTAAAGACCACTAAGTTGTGCTGTCATGCAATACCAATCTCTTCAAACTTTGAATTGTGTTTGCTTCTGGAATTTGGGGCATTGAGGGGGTGTGGAGGGGTGTGTGTTAATGATTTGTTGGTTTTTTAAAGACAACTTCAGATTTCTTTTTAAAAAGGTTACTGTCTAAATCTTTTCATCAGTACTCTCAAGCCAATCAATGTTCAAGAATTATCATTATTTTTAAGTGTCACTAAAAAAGAAATAAAAAAAATTAGAAGATGAAATATCCTTGTAGTCTGAAGACAAACCTGGTCTTTAATTTAGGCTATGAATACTAAAATGCGAAAACACTAGATTAATCATCAAGAGGATGTTAATGAACACTGGATTATCATTTCCTGCATGACTACAGTGCTCTAATTTCTGTTGAGGGAACTGCAATTTTTTTAGACATAGCAACTGATATATCACAGGGTTTTTAAAAAATGAAATTAAAGTAACATAATGGCAATATTCCCCTCAAAGATCTCACAGTGATTGTGATAATGACCCCAAAGCAATAATTTACTAGATGCAGGAACTAAAATTAAGAAAGCAAAAAAAGCCAGACACCACCCCACAAAATTAATCTAACAACCTGCCCTCTAAAATATTTTCTGCTTCATTTCAATACTTGTACTCTCTTTTGCTCTAAACAAATTGAACTTCAGATCCAAGAAAGACATCTGGTTACTGTTTCTTGGAGGCAAAAAATTCAGGGCCTATTATTGAGCTATCATTTGCTGAGACAGTCAGATACCCTGCTCAAGGGATTATAACTAAGACTCAGTTTAAGAAGCAGTGTGCAATTCCGTCTGGGTATGGATTATGCTTAGGGGCTAGGAAGCCTAGGGAATTCCTTGACAAGAGAAGAAAGCTACAGAGGGGCAGCACACTGGCACACCAACTCAAGGAACAAGTCTGAAATTTACACCTGATAAAATATCAGAATATATCAAGAGTATCTTGAACTTGCCATCTGGAAAATCATATTAAGACTCTGTAGCTCAACAAGCAAACTTATCACACTTCTAGGTAATTCTGCAACATGTCATCTTCACAGTATATGCTAGGAGTTGAATGATTTACCTTTGTGGAAATGTCTAGTTCAACAGTGTAATACTCCAATCAGTTTAAATCAGCTTTATACAGGCTTTCAAATGAAGAAAAGCTTTATTTATTCATTGCCTTACTCTTAAGACAATACCATTAAGGTGTTCTGTCTTCCCATTGACACCAGAAGTCACTATTTAATTTTCCACCAGAGCACACATACTCAAGATTACCTAATAGTAATTAAGATTACTCTCATACTCATACTCAAGATTACTTAATAGTAAATTACTTTTATACTTACTCAGTATCCAGTTTCTTTGGACTAGCAATATTCTTAGCGCTGCTACTAAGCTCATTGAGGACTATCAGTGGATAGATAACATTCTTCTCTACAAAAAGGAGCCAAATGTGAAGTTTCTCAAACCACATAACATGGGCAGCATCTGTCAAGATTTATTAAGAAGAAGAAATCAGATGGCACTGTCAAATCAAAAATCTCTGGTTACAAAACAAAGTTTGTTCATCCAATTAACTTGGATTAACCATTTTCTCACAATGGACTTTTGTAGTTTTATTTAACCAAAATCAAGAGAAGCTCCTGTCAGTAGCCCCAGTAGTTTTTACTCTGTTCACATAGCAACAGAAAAGTTTGCAAGCTACTTGCTTACTGTACACAGAAGGAAACAAACTGAGTTCCACCTCTTCAATAATTTCAATATTGCTATTGATGAAGCTGTTTGAAATGATGCATTTTCTCACACAAAAGGATGCTTTTCAACCATACTCAATCTGAAGGACTCCTGGTTTACCACTCTACAATACAGAAGAGCCTATGTAACCTAACAACACAAATGTCTGTCACTTGAGCAACTTCTTTTCATCTTCTACAAAAATTGTAAGGTGTGCTTCAAATTAACGTAAATTAAGATAAAAAAACTTCTGCAATATAGGCTAGAAGATTTAATGTCAAAGGTTATGGTAAACATTGATGAATATATAAAGGGCACCAACTGTAGTTTTTCTAGTTTTACAGATTAAAGACTTAAGGCATACAGTTACACTTTACACTTCTTCCAGATAACATCTGACATTGTACTACAATTGCTATTCATATTTATCCATCTTTACATGCAAGCACTGGGAAAAAAAAATCCCACAGGTTAGACATCAATGAAAAGACCACATTGAATGGATGCTACAAAGGCAGAAAGTTTGCAAATTAATTCTGATAATCCTCTGCTCCTGAAAGCAGCAGAATGTTTTCTTGTTTTAACAACCATTTGAAAAGAAAAATCAAAACAGATTCAGTTGTTTCCAAGGCAGTTCAGACAGGAATTTCTTAAGCCTGCTTAACAATAAAAACATTCCAGCAGTGAAGTCCCCACAATCTATCACACCATTTACCCATTCTGGAAAACTGATAAGCAGTATAACTTCATTTTTCTGCATCTCTGGGCAAAGATTCCATGAAAACATAGGTTGCAAGCACAAGCTGCCAGTACATAGCTATACAGATCATGTTGTAAGACCGGTCCTTTGGTGTCTTCATCCAGCAGTTGACCCCTTGCACTATTTTCTATTGTTAAACATGTCAAATCAGTACCAGAATGAAGTCTCCATCAGCATTCACCACAACTAATCCTCTCAAACATCTGAAAATTTAGCAATGTTCAAGAAGTACATGGTGAAACACACTCGATCACTATGAAAAATTCTTGAGGCAATCATAAGCCCAAACTTTACCACTTAAGATTTTGAAGACTATGTTTTAATGGAACTGCTCTGAGATAATGTTAACACTTGTATTACCATCATCAGTTAAGAGATACATAAAATGTCATGGAAACAAAGCATGAGGAACTGAGAAGCAAATACATTCATAGATCAGATATAATTAAATCCTCCAGTGGTGAGAATAGTAAAGAGATTAAGTATATCAATAGGTAACACAAGCAGGTCAACAACAACAGCCAATACTTACTCCGGACTTCAAACTGATGGTATTCCTTGGTTTTCAGCAGTGGGTGAGAAAAGCAATGCCAAGGAAGCTGCTTTCGGAGTTGAGGCAGAACATAATGGGTCACAAAGCCTACCGTACCCACCAATGCATAGAGAACATAACTTAAAATAGGCTAGAAAGAAGAATTAAAGAAATTAAGATTTGTGTTTTACAAACAAAATAAAATATTACTTTGTATTTTCCAGTGTAAGAGCAGGTGATCCTGCAATACTAATGCATTTCTTCATGAGAAACTGAACTACCAATTTTAAGATAAAACAAGAAACTCTGGGAGGAAAAAAACCCTTCATATCTATCAAATTTTCACTAAGTTGAAATGTACTTTCAAGTAAAAATAGTACACCAATCTTCTTTCACAGTCCATTGCTTCCGTATGCATTTCATTTTATAAAGGTATTATTCTCTAAAGGCTGAACCCAATTTACCATTCCATCTACTGGATAAAAGGAGGCATAAGCATAAGCAAAAACAAATCATTAATTTCATATTCACTTGGGAAAGTAAGAAGCCTCCCACAAGACCAATCCCTTCCACAGAAGTCACAGAACACTGCAAAATTAACATGGGATGATGCTTGGATTTCACAATGCTTTCCATTAAAATTTTCTCTAAATTTCTGCATAAGTTCAGATAATTGCAAAACTAGGATTACATTATCTTGCCATAAGCTCTTTGTGAATTCCGTGAAGCCCAAGCCTATAGAAATACACAGCTGGTGAAGAGCATATAGCCAAATCTCTCAAGGGTGGGAGAAAGCAACATTCAGGTGGAGTGCCAAAATCCAGCCATACAATAATAGAAGAGATATTTTCCTCACAAAACACAAGTACACATGATTAAGTAATCCTGAAGACAACTAGTTACCCAAATGCATATGCTTTTTTAAATTAGTTTCTTACTTTAACTTTAGGCAGTAGCAGGAAAGTAAAATCCTTCTAAAATACATGGCAGAAATTTTAATTTGCCTTACATAAGGCTATTCATAAGCTAGCCAATGGCTCCATAATAAGAATATCAAAATAAGAAACTCAGTAACTGTAGCTCTTGAGGGAACTGCTTTACTTAAATTCAAGCACAGGATCTAGTCCCATGCCATTACCATCAAGAGTCACATATAGACATGAAAAGTATCCAACGCAGTAGCACTAGCTAGACTGACAAGTCAAAAACTTGAAATTTAAATGATCTTTGAAGTTCTGTAAAGTCCAGTAAAGGGATACTGCCCTATAGTATGGTCTACAAAGAGCCATGCCAGCATGGAAATGCTGAATCAAGGCTCAGCCCCTCAAACTTTAATCGCTAAACATTTTAAACTTTTTTTTAAAGTTTCATATTTCCTTATTTCAAAATAATCCTGACACTATTTAATTGAGATAGAGAACTTGAAAGAGGGCATTTTGTGTCAGAGGCTAAAATAGAAGTCTCGAACATAAGAAGAAACTAGGAAAGAGCTAGGGAAGATGATCTTCTGAGCACATAAAAGTGTCATGTCACTCAGTCATGTACTTGTCACACTACATGTTTAAAGACCATCTTTATATCACACCAGAGTATTTTCATACAGAAAGCAAATTGAAAACATGAAGTAACACCTTACCTGTAAAACTGTAAATACTGTACTGACATGAATTGCAAAATAGAGGACACCAATGACTATACACACAATCAGGTCAGACTGCAATCGTTCACTCTGTGGAGACAAAATAAAATAATTTTAGAAAATACCAGCTTTGGTTGACCTCTTAGAATCATTAAAGTTGGAAAATATCCCCAAGGTAGAGTCCAAACTTTTACACATTCCTTTATATAAAAATACAGTAACACTGAAACTGATTAAAGATTTAAATTATGCCAGTTTTAACTACTTCCACTGAAGTTTTTAAAAATTTCACAAGACAAATCTTACAGCTAAAGAGCATCAGTTCAACTAAGTGAAAGGGAAAGACACATACTTATACCAAATAACTCTCTAATCCTTGACTGTGAGGCGGTGTAAGGATCCCTTTAAAGAATCGATGAAGAAACAACCAAATTTCCCCTTTATAATCTAGAATTTGTTTAAACTGCAAGGCAATTAAGTGTCCTGGAAGAGTGCTGCCTGGTGAAACAACCAGGCTCTTTGACCCTTTTCTGCCTTCTTTGCAGAAGGGTAAAAGACAGCTTTGGAATGACCCCAAGGAACGAGTCTGAACTTTCCATTACTCCTAAAAAAATGAAAATAAGCTGTTGATTACAAGCAACTCCCCCGCCCCCAAACTAGTAATGCCAGACTCAGCCACAAGGGGGCAATGCGTACTTAGGGCCGTTGCAACTCGAAGCCTCAAGTTTACTCAAGTTTAGGCTTGCTCCCACCCTGCAAAAACAGCACCAGTATTTACAGCCCAGAAAATCGTTAAAGTATTATCTGCTCCAAAATTGGCCATATAATTACAAACGGCAATTAGTGCTGCAAAGCCTTAACTTCAGGGCTATAACTTAGTTTATTTTAAATCAGTTGTCTTGATTTTAAAAACCACTGTAAGAAAGACTATGAAAATCTCCAGCTCCCCTGCCACCTTGGAGACTAACACCACATTTTGAGAGCTAAAGAGGAGTTTGCACCTCCCATGATCGCTGCCTCCTGCTAAATGTTAAAAGAATTGCAGTTTCTCTGTTCTAAATATTTATTTGCAATTTCTACACACTGCACCTCATCATGCTTTTAACTGCTGCATTATGAAAAACCCAGATATACAGTTCAGCCTACAGTTGAGCCCTACACAAAACAAAACGAATATTCAACCTTTTGTACAAACTAAACATACTAAAGCATCTTAAGTCTCTTCTTGCTACATTGTGTGAAAAATAATGTTTAAATATTACTACTTCCATAAATATTTAGATCAATTTGTACTAAAAATTCAAAGTAGTGTTAAAGTAAATGTAGCAGGTTACATCTGCTTCCAAAGAAAGCAAAGAACAAAATAACTCAGACCACCCAAGCAAGCCACAAAGACCTCCAAAATACTTTGCATCATTTTTATTTTCCACTTCTGGAACAAGAACAAAGCTCTTCCTCACAGAAAAACTGAGTTAATATAGTTTTATTAGTATTTTTAGTTAATATTAGTATTTATAGTTAATATATAGCTAATATAGTTTTGCCACCATTAAGTCTTTCCCACTAACTTGTGCACAAATGCAAGCATCATCTATTATTATCCATGAACTAAAAGAAGATCCTCAGTGATACTTCACTGAATCCACACTAGGGAATTCCAACTCTCTCTGCTTTTAAATAACTTCAAATTGCAATAGGAGCATTATATTCCTCAGTGTAGCACATGAGCTCAGCTGCAGATTGAAAGGAAATGCTAAGTGATATCCACTCTAACTAGAATCATGCTAAGTGAAAAGTGTGAGCTAAGCAAGATCCAGACATGCTATATAAACCAACACAAAGCAAATGCTTAAATGGAATTTTAAAAAACATAATAAAAATCCTACTTACCACAGAATTTCTAAGCTTCTCAGGTAAAGGATCTTTTACTTCAGACAGAGGATCCTCAGGGTTTTTGTCTTCAGAATTAGGAAAAAATTTTGATTGCACTAAAGAGCTTAAAAGAAAGACCAAAAAAAAACCCACTGAAAAGCATGTATTATTCTATTATTCTATGTGGTTTTATAATAACAAGGTCAGAAAGTCAGTTCTATTACATATTGATCACAAAAAATTAATTTTGTCACATCATTGCTTTCACATAGCTGAGCAAACTTACAGAGATCTCAACTTGATAAAAGAATTAGTTCTCTGTTGTACAGAATGGTGTATCTATTAAAGAGCAGTAGACAGATGTTCAAACTACAGTTTCTCTAGTAGCAGCACAGGAGTAATTGAACAAAAACTGAATTTTAAGCAAAATTTAGCCATCATGAAACAAAACCTGAACTCAAAAATAACTAAGCGGAAATGTGCAAAATTTAGAAGTTGTCTATTTGTCAATGCCATTTAAAAAAACATGCATTCTTTGGTTTCATTCAACAGAAACAACTAAAGAAATCTATTGTAACATGATTAATTAACAAATTAGCCATGCTGACCCAACTTCTAAATTCTTAGCAGCTCTTGCTGATAGTAAAGCCCCAAAACCTTACACTTAAGCTTTTAGAAGCCCATGTGCAATGTTACTAGTCATAACCAGCTGCCTGGCAACGTCTCATTGTATTTTTTTTTCACAACAGCTGATATAGTGCAGAAATATTATTTCATGTTATGTACAGCAAGATCACTACAGAATGAGCCCCAACTCCTCAAAGGAAATTACATATTGCAATGTATTACAATGCTTAACTGTGCCACATCTGGCTAAACAGGTGAAATTGCAGGTCAAGCATGAAGATCCAGACCTTAGTTTTTTGAAAGAACAAAAGAACAAGTATCTAGGGAAAAGGACCTCATATCAACTGAACTAAGTAATTGGACAAGGTCTAGTGATCAATCCAAAGATAAGAAATTTCCTCCCAGGTAAACATGCGTGAATCATTAATTTTGCTGTTCACAGAAGAGGTCCTTCACTATCTACCCCAGGCCCCTAGTTATCAAATTAATCCAACATTATGGCTACATTTAAATCCAAGCTCAAGCTCTGCCGAACCTAGGTATGTGGCTGAGCTATTATATAATATAACTAATATTGGCTATTCTAAGGGAGGTGTTTCTTCTATTGGAACTATTTTGTTTTACATGTATCATTATTAACTGTATCAAACACCCTCAGCATCAGATCTCTACTCCAACTCAGAATAACATGAATACCTATTTTCCCATGCTAGATGATTTAGCATAACTCAGCATAATTATCTGAACAAGTGTTTGGAGCACACATTCAATGTAAGAATACATCAACAAATGAAGTTCAAGAAGTCTCCCTGTGGGCCTCAGCTTAAACCAGTGCCTCGAGCACCTCTTTAAGCACAGAAAGGGTACATGTTACTCCCAACAAACCCACCAGCAGAAAGATGGCACCTGACTGACATTTTGGAGAACATCAGCAGGCAGCAAAACTAGATTCTGGCATGTAAGTGATTTACCAGAAGACACAAAAACAGTCATTGTTAGAGAAGGAACTAGATGCAAAACATAAGAATGTCTAACTCTTGAACCAAGAAAATACTATTTTTGATTAATGCTGGTGAGTACAAGTTCAAACAATAGTAAGTAGTAACATTATTCGTAATTTTTCCTTGCAACTTCCTTCTTCATTGTGGAAGAGATCCAAACTGAGTCACTTACAAAAGTACAGAAGGGTCACTGCTTTGTCTGCTGAGATGATACGATATTGCCACTAACAAACCACAAAATATGGAGAAGAGAACTGGAATATGCTGCCCATCCCAGGAATCCTGGAGACAGAAACAAAAGGTTTATAAAAATGAGACAAAGCACACACCACTTACCTGACATATAAGAATTATGTGTATCACAGAGACTGGAAAAATTAACTATAATTCCACAAAAATAAGCCAAGTAATTTTGTACAAAAGTATTATTCCATCTTTACCTACGTCTAACTATAGATCAGAAACTTTACCACAGTGTTCAACCCTCAAGTCTACACCATCTTAATCATTAAACAGACATAATTTCTCATAACCCTTAGGAAGCATTTCCTTCATTTCTTAAGACCACAGGCTCTTAAAAGCTGTATTTAGTCACTTCTTAATTTTGAATGTTACATGTATTTTGACTCAAGATTTATTTTTTCGAATGTGCTGAATGCAGATTAAACAGTGACTTTGTGTTTTCATGACCTGTACTGGATCTGCAAAGATAAAACAGTTATTCTTTGCTAAAGCTTGTTTGGCTTAAATGGGTGTGTTTACAAAAGGCTAATGAGACAAGTGTAGAAATTCACAGAAAGCTAATGATGTCCTGCAGGTGACAGCATCATGGGAGTAACTCCTCTAGGAACTTTCTGCTCTCTGTGATAAAGTGGAAAAGCCAGTCAACTCTGAGTTGGACCAACACATACTACAATTCATTGTAAACTGAGCATATTTGATTATTGACACACACCTGAAATGAATAAACAGAACCAGCATCACATTCCATACTGTTCTCAAATACTTCAAGCAAGAAAAACAGGGTATGTGTGGGCTGTGTGTGTCCCTTTGCCAGTAAACTCTAACTCTCCCCTTCAGATAGGCACACATCTTCACTTTGACACTACAAACTATTTATTAGTTTCTTCTCAAATAAATATTAATTAGAAAATACTCTTTCACTTTTGCAGCACCAGAAAAAAATATTTACACATGTGCCATTTTAAGAGGTTAACATACAAATACATGCTGACTCTGCTAGAAATAAGTAATTTGCATGATATTTTCAAGAATTGATGTAGAACGGAACTGATGGTAAATGCCATGTGTTTTCAACCAAAAAAAAAGCCTGTTAGAGCAGGCACAAATCACACACCTTTCAAAAGCAAAAAAATCTGTTTTTCTCCTGCATTGCATCTCCTCTATTGACATCACAGCTGAGCCAGTATAAAATCCTAGTACATCAAGCTAGTATTTCAGATTCAGTAATTGCATACTTTAGTTACTTAATACAGAAGGAAGCAGAGAACAAACACCAAGACATTAATATTTACTGTGCATAAAATTTTTCTCACCTTCAGGGCACCATAACACAGTCCATACAATAATGCTACTGCCACAATACTACAGATAAAACTGTAAAGTGCTGCAAGCAGGCTTGTGGTAGCTGAATATCATAGAGATGAAAAGAAAAAAAAACAAAACATTGTTATCTTCTTAAATCAGAATACAAAATACTTCAGTTTAAGGTATCAGCTCCCCAGTTTCCTCTGATGGAAAAAAAAAAGGCAATTCAAAACAGAATAGCTACCTCTGTTTTCCCCTACAAGTGATTTTTATCAAGAGCATTTTATGTGGCTTTTATAATCTCCTTAGTTATTGAACAGCTTTACCATGGGAACAGTTAACTGCAATAGAAACCAGCTGAAGAAAGTGACAGACTTACTACAACAGTAATCAGAAGACTTTTAGGCTTTTTAAAAATACAATTAAGCATTATGTGTTTAGAGGGTAGGAATGAAAACAGTGTAACCATTAATTTTTTAAACTAACATACTGATCTTGGCTCTCCACATCTCATACTTTTGCTGCTGACACAAATCACATCACTCACCATTGCCACCAAAGACATGAATGTCCAGCTGTTCACAGAGATACATCACAAACGTATTCACCTGAGGCAGGAGACCAATGAAGAATACTATAGGGAAACATAAAAAAAAAAAAAAAAAAAAAAAAAAAAAAAAAAAAAAAAGTAGAAAAAGTGGTGAATATGAAAAAAACAGCATGGTAAGATATTTTTCAGTTTAACTTCCAGGGTATCACACACCCCATTTTAACTCTACATCACTGAAGTATTCCTATTAAAAATTTCTAAGGAAAACACACATTTTGTAAATTTCTACCTCAGTGACTCAGAATTGACTGAATACAGAGGTCATACAAATCAATAGTACTTTCCTTTTAATTGCTGTAGACATGGACACAGGCCAATTCAGGCTTTCCATTTTTATTTAGCAAAGATCAGCCAGAAGTGTTTACAGATTAGACTTGTAAGTTTTCACTCATTTTAAGTGAGGCTTATCCAAGCCTAACTGCCTGTCTGGAGTTCCAGAAGCAACCCAACACCAGCCACTCTGACATAAGGGAGGTCAAGCACTCCACCTCTAGGTTTTTTGCTACTAATAACATCTGACAATTCTACTCATTTTCCCACACCACTTCTAAAAGTTCTGATTCTAAATGACTGGGTTTTGTTTGGTTGGTTAGGATTTTGTTAAAAAAGAACAGACAGCTGTATGAATCATGAAAACACCTGGAAATTACAGGATTTCAGAATGCAAAGATAAATGAATGCTATCTAATTTCTATACAGAAAATGGTATGTCTCAACCTGTACGTATCATTTACTTTCTGTCTTAATAAAAGATGCAGAAATATCTTCTACACACATTCAGATATAGTAGTTCAGATCTAATTCACATGCAACAGTATATTTTAAGTTCTAAGTTCTGAAGGCTAGAAAGATCGAATAACAAAAATAACCCTAGCAGACAAAATCTGGCAGTTTAGGGAGGATTTTCTATCATCTTATTGACTTGTAGCTTCAGTGACCAAAAGAAGAGAGACTTGAAAGTATCTTCAAACACCACAAGTCTCATTTTTTTAATTTTATATGCACAGTGGTTGGACACTAAAGGACATCACATTAGAAATATCTACAGTGAGATAGATAAGGAGAATCTGATTTTTTTTTTTCCCCAACTCCACAGTAAAGCTAAACAACATCATTTAAAAATATGCAGGTTGCAAGCCTGGGAAAAACATGCAATTCTGTATTTTTTACTGACACTAATTAGGAAACAAAGGACTACAGACCAGCTGTTCAATACCTGGAGAAAACCCTTTTTCAAAATTCTCAAGTCAAACCTCTATTTCAAATCATTACTCAAGGAAGCTGACATGGAAGGCAAATACAGTGCTCTTCCACTGACAAGTTAAAAACTTGTTTCCCAAAAGTCTGCAAGTCAAACTATCTTGGGCCCATTGGAAACAAAATTACTACACAGATGGTGAGAGGGGGAATACACAATTTTTAAAGAGTAGACCAGCAACAAGCCACTATTTATGATACTTTTACAGTGCATAACATCATTGTTTTCTAACACTGATGAACTAGGTGAAAAGATAAGGTAATTATTATAAGTGTGGAGTAGATTTAGAGCAATTCATCAAGTGTAGTAGGTGGGACACAAAGCATTTATGCTAATCCTCATTTATCTGTTGGCAAGGAGACAACATTTGCATTATCTAAACACAAAGTTTGCCTTGCCCTGCACCTGTGCTCTTCCAGTACTTTTGCCTGGGAACAGGAAAAAAGGCAGCTGAGATTTTTACCTAACAATATTGGAAGAACTGTCAAGAAATATGAACCATATGTGCTGCTGCAAGATACCTCAGAAGAACAGTAAAAAGTAAAGTTCAAAGCCCACTTAGAACTCTTGAACTAAGCACCTTGAAAAGCTAATCCCAAGATGGACATGGCCTGGTGAAAATGCCACCACATCTTTTTAAAACTGGTAAAGACTCACTCCTCAGTACTTTTAGAAAGTAGCTCACTAGGCACAGGAGGACACACCACCTACATGTACATTCATGTATTATCTTATGGGGATATGGGTATACATTACGGCAATGACTCCACAAGGTAGAAAAGGGAAGAAAATACTTCCAAAACTGACAGAGCATCATGAAGAGAAATTAAGCTAGTTTTGTATCATGAATGAGTCAAAAGTATCTTCTATCTTCTTTTTTTTAGTACTGATACAGAATCAAGTATGCTAGTACATAAAGAGAACCAAAGAATTTGTTCATAAAGCACCTGTGAAAATATCTGGACAATTTCTGTTCATAAATATGCAGCTTAGACATTTTCCCTCTGGGCATTTAAATTTAAATACAGAATTATTAGCATAAAGCTGAAGGAGAAAGCAGTATGAGGCATAAAATACAGGATGTTCCTAATAGCAAGTAATAAAAACTAACACCCAAAATGTTTGAGTCAGTAATTCTTATTAATCAATAAAATTTTTAAAAAACCACACAAGTTTTCATTTTTCTTGGACAGAAAATGGTCTGGGGGCACACAGACCTAACATTTAACTGCTGTAGTATTCCACATACAGGTATTTTGACACAACTGAAGAGCAACTGCATTCAGTCTAGATGAATTCTTACAGATTTGCTTACCCCACCTGAAGCAGTGATCGACAAAAGATCACCCAAATAACTTCGCTCCATTAAAGCAATGCACAAAGCTACCATGATAAGATAGTCCTCAAATGTTTATGACTCACTCTCTTTTCTCTGGGCTCTGTTTGAGACTACAGGGCTGTTATTCTTTTCGTAACAGGGGAAAGCATTGTTACTTTGGGTTTTACATTGTTTGTTTTTTGCATTAGATTAAGGGGGGTAATGGAGTTAAATGTCATCAGTATTCTGAATGCACTGTGCTGTTCAGAAAACAATGGGATTACCTCAAAATGTAAGTACAGCTCAGAAATTGTATTTCTGGTATTGTTGATAGGCCTGTTCTGTAAAGAGGTGCATTAAATAAGATTTAACCTGTGTATAACGTTTTTTTAAAATTGTATCTGTACTGTTCTGCCAGATTGCTAAATACAAACAACCTGAGAGAACTCCTACTCATTTGCCACAATATGCCACACCTTCAGAGAGTGTGAAACGGTCAAAATCAAAACGCATATGCAGATCCAAGTTAAATAAGAAAATTCAGGAATAAGGGCTAAGATATTGGATAATAAAAAATTTTAACAGTAGAAGGCATCTCTGCCATTTGTTCCAGCAAAGCTACAGAAGGGGAGAATGTTCCCATAAAGTTCTACTGTTAAAAAGCAATCAATTCAAATCCGTGAAAAAAGCCACTCACCTATAACTAAGTCCCTGGCTGAGAGCAGCAGCAATGGGTTGGTGAAAGCCATTCCATACAACCTGAATCTTGTTGTAGATATGTTTCTGCTGCCATAATCCAACAGCCAAATCAGACCACAACATAAACAGAAATATACAGGCCTACTATAGGCTATGATACGATTGTGACCCTGTTTAAAAATAAACCACAAAAACACCAACATTTGTTCATTATTAGTGGATGAAGTAACTTTTACTTTTCTGCTACAGATAGCTTCAGAACCAAAATTCATCACTGGTTATCGACTAATATACTGTCACCTCACCATATCCTAAAGTTTTCTTCATAAAATCTTTAATACATTGCCTTGCAGTAACACCAATCTGTGCTTTTTGTGGCTTTGATAAAATAAAAACACAACAGCTCAATAAAGTTAGACTAAGCTATATATACCCTTAGTTTCAGCTATATTTTATGCTATGTTGAACTACTAAATGCTAGAGAAGCTCTGACTAGGCTTTGTAAGCAACTGAGAACAAACCAATTTTAAGGAAAAAGGGATTAAAGTTTATTACTCAGATACTGCTTCTGCTGGATGGGGGGGACAACCTCTATTGGTGTTTATCAAAACACAACTTCTAACACAAAATTAATGACTTGCTGCAGAGGAATAATGCTTTTATACATCTTATCTAGAACATAAAGGTAATATTTTGTCTCAGCAATCTGGTAGATGCACAACAGAATATAAACATATTGTGCAATACTAGAACATTAACATTTCCATGGTCAAACATTAAAGCTCACTAGAGCATTGCAAACTCAACTTATTAGAGTGAAAAAATAAAGCAGTGCACACTAGGACAACTGAATGATCTGCAAGACTGAAACAGAACATCAAAGCTGTGTCAGTTCATACCAGCAAAGCAAATGACAACATTAAGAATGCTTCTCACTGTAATTGTTAGAATAATAAAGGTTCATCAAAAAGCTTATCATGACATGGCTCCCCAGCAAAAGCTAGGCTCAGAAGAGGAGGACATGATTTGCTAAATACAAAGAGTATGGCAGGGGAGAAACAGTATCAGTTCCCTTGTCACACACTAGGACAACTACAAGCCTTTTGTGCTTTATAAGAAGGAACATAGGAAAATTGCCAGAAAAATCAAACCATAATGATTAATTCTCTGTGGGAGTTCTGCATCTGCAGGGTTAATACAGTGGCACATGCCCATGACTTACATGTCGAGGGGAAGAAGAATCTGGCTGAACGCTCTGAAAGCAAAATGAAGAGGGAAGTTACCCAACCTATAGATAAGTGTGTTTACCTCCCTACACACACCTTTTTGGTTGAAGTCCTTTTAACATCATCTACAATTAATTTTCCAGTTGTCAAACCACATTACAGACTTAAATAGCATAAACCATGAAATCTATTTAGAGTAGATAAATCTGTTTAAAGAGTATCTGTCTATAACCAGAATTCTAAAAGCATCCCCAACCCCCTTATTTTCAGGACTTTTACTGCTTTTCAACAGTATTAGGAACTTTAATTTTAAATCTAATTTCCATCCTAATAGTAAAATCATAAAAAATAATCAATAGTTCTTGGATTACAATAAAACCTTAGTCTAACAAAAATAATCTGATTAAAAATATGTTTAGATGTAATTGCCTCATATGAATGCTTTGAGGTGTAGACACTAAAAAAAATTAAAACCCAAACCAATAAAACTTCAAGTTTAGCTTGTAGTCAGTTTTCAACGAGTAAGAATGTGCTCCTCTTTATGAAACCAAAAAAAATGCATGAGAACAATAAAGGATTGTTTAACAAGCATAGGCTTAACCATTCTAGTGAAGTGACCTTGCATTACTATCTATCAAACTTTCCATGAGGCCAAGTTTATTCATTTCTTTATAAATGATAAGCATGCACGTTTTTCCTTAAAGCTCTAACCTACAACACCCAACTGGATTTTTATCTATTGTTTGCAGAAAGTAAAGAGAAATTAAAATACCTTCAACAGTGAGTACTGGCAACTGGCTATTACCAGGCAGAACTGGAAGACCCAAATATCCTTGAAAAAGCCCTCTATAAGAAGTACAGAGCCCAGAAATGCAACTAGAATAGCTAGGATGACAGCTAATACATTTTCAAGGATCTCACGATTCCTGTTTTAAAGGGAGAGAAAAAAAAGAAAAAAAAGGAGTTAAAGGAGTTCTAGGCATAGTTAAAGCTAACTAAGCCTAGAAAAAGCTGCAAAAGAGCAGTTAGGGTCAAAAATTAACAAGGGTTATGCTACTGGTAGCAAAGTAATTAAGAATAGATTTGAACTTGCATAGTCTGCCAGCATACTGTCCTTTAGCAAAGCTAGGAGCTACCAGGATTTCAATGACAGCTGAAAGTAGTTAGTATCTTATGGCATTTTACTTTAAAAAGTAGAAGATAACTTCAGTAGATAATTTTAGAAATAATTCAAATGTTCCACCAGGAGCACAGTCCATAACATAAACCTATATTCAAAGCCTATCCAAGATGATTATGAGCCTATGAGAAACACAATTTACCTGTGTAAATAATCTGTCATTCACAATTTTCTAATGAAGAAACTAAAAATACTCTCGCTTGAGTAAGATATTCAAGTGGAATACAGATAATTCACTATGATACGGCCAGTGCCTTGGAACAGAATTATGAATACTCTTCCCTGGACAGAATCATGATTATCTTGTTTATTTCAAGGAGGTTCATTACCAAAATTTAAATACTCTACATGTTTCAAAAGCTGGTAACTGGAGATCGCCTTAATTTTATTCCTCTTGGTAAATGTAGCAGGGACAAGAAATCACAGTATTAAATGACTCTTGAAAAAAATGTTTTGAAACAGCAAGCAAATTCTTCCTATTTACCAAAACACTAAGTGCATGTCAGGTTGTAGACTCTTTGAATTAATTTTCCTTCCAATCCAATGCCTAGCATTAAAGATTGGCATTAATCTTTCTATTTCACCATTCAAATATGGTACTGCCCCACTCAGGTAAAGTGAAGGTTGGTTGCCTTTTTCCATTTTTTGACTGCTAGAGAAAAAAAGGAGAGTACTCCCATTACTTTAGAAAAACTACATTCAGTATTATTCTTTCATTTTTCAGAGTACAGTAAATAAGTACCATTCTCTAAGGATAGTTTTATCATCTTTATTATAGTTTAGTAAATGTTTTCATCTTTGTTTTCTGACATCTGGTAATGTACAAGGATCTCACCTATCAAATAAAGCCAGAAGAGTTAATCTATCAAAATTGATGCTAATCCAAAGTTTAGGCAGGATCCAAAAGCGATAGTACTGCTTGACTTTTTGAGCTGCTTCCTCTTGAGGTTGCATGTGGTCCTGAAGGTCAGGGCTCAGGTCAATATCTTGCTGCTCAAGCAGATCTGTATCCATTGTTAGCAGCCTGTTCAACCTGATCTGAGGAAGAGAAAGCTAAAAGAAAGTTAGTATTAACAAAAGCTTGCTTACATGAAATCACTGTATTATACTGAAAATTACTTTAAAGAAAATTGCCAGAACTCTTTAGTTTCACTTTTGAAGAATTACATGTTAAGCATTGTCACAGGCTCCTACTTACTTTTTCTGTCCTTAGTGCACATGAATAGGACTAGCATACATAGTTTGCATACAACACAACTATGTCATTTCAGCATATGCCTTACTTCAAATGAATGTGTCTTCTAAGCACATTATCCCATTTACTCTGAAAACTTCAAATTTGAAGACTAGTAAACTGATACATGGACAACACACCACAAGAATAATCCAATTATGAATTTAAATAAATTACAACACATTTCTTATAGTGAGCTAATCTGCATGCAAATCCATGCTGAATGGTTCTTTTTGCATGACAAAGCAACATACTCGTGCACCAGTGGTCAAATTCAAACTCACTGAATCCAGAATACACTCAGAAATGAACCAAAAGAAAAGCTCTGCCCTAAACAGTCAAGTACTTTTTATGACTATACTTATATTTATGATACAAGTATTACTTATTCTGTAGTTTGTTTAGCATTCTCATGAAAATCACAGTAATACTAACAACCATGAAAGACAATTAAGAAGAGTACTCAATGCTAATAAGATACTATAGTACATGTGTATTGTCTAATCCAGTTTCTAAATTTCATTAACAGGCCAAGAAGCACCTTGATATACTGGCCTTTATACTTAGGCAATATAATTGTTAAGATGTCCTTTAATGAAAAAGCTTCACAAATGTGTAGTGCAAAGAGCAAAATTTCAATATTCATGCCACCTTCAAGTGTCAAAACGACAGGTTTAGTGTTTGGAGGGGCTTTTTTCCTACAATTACCTAAGTTTCAACAAACAGTCATCTAAGTTTCTAACATTCAATTTCTTGATTTATATGATGTTTTCCATCACTCCTTAAATCGTCAGTGTACTTAACTATGCTTAGGCAGCTTTTCCTTCCTAGAAAAATACTTATGAAAAAACAAGCAGGAACACTTCCTTTCTAAAGGCATTTCAAAAATACAAACCATACTATTAAAGGTAAGCTGTGTTAGAAAACAGGTCCCTTTTTGACCATTTAAAAAAAACTTAATTTCTTAAAAGGTAGAATCAGCATAACATGCATGACACTAATAATAAATTTCAGTGGAAATTTCCATTTAGGTGCATGGGCTGTGCTTTTACAGTCACAAATTTGCCTTAAAACAGAATCATTCCCTCCAATGGGACTACATTGGCAAACCAAAAGAAAAGAAGTAATGCAGCCTCTTTTCTAAAGGCTACATGTTGAAGGGGAACTGTGGAAAGCAAAGTTCCTCTAGCACTCACCAAGTTTAAAAAGCACATTCTTGATGAAAAGCATGGTCAGGCAAACGGAGGTCTCTTACTCCCCTGCCAAATCCTGAAGCTGTATTTCATTTTCCCCTCTTGATTAGGCCATTAGGTACTTCAACATACTTTTCTCTGATTTTCCATCTTATGAATCATGACCATTTGCACTGTTTTCATAACATATGACTTCAGAATCAAGAGTGCAGGTATGACTGGACTTGACAATAATACAGAAGCTTTGAGATCATAAAACTAAGGAATTAGAAAGCTATTTGCAGTATGAAACAGTGTAAGCTGCCCTGTTTTATCAGTCACTCCCTGCATATAAGTTGAAATTTTTTACAGCAGACTCCAGTGACAGATTTCTAAATTCCTTTCAGGGAAATTATTCAAGTAAAATTTCTTTTGGTCACAACACAGTATTTAGTCTTTCTGCTGCCTGCTAACCTCAGTAATGCATGGAGGAAAACTCCAAATTACACATTATCTCTGGAAACTTTTACAAGGTATCTTAGAACATTCAATTTCTGTGTTTTTAAATCGCTAGGTTTTAGATCAGAGGAAACCAATTAGGTTTTAAAGTGCTATGCAAAAAGATTAATTTCTATTACATATGAAGACACTACAATACTAAATATTTTCTCTTCATTAATCCAGACAAAATTCTTTCATATGAACAGAGAACTATCACACAGAATGATTAATCAGTGCTACAAAGTTGGATAGTCTTCTGATTCTTTGCATGCTTTAAAAATAAGTAAGAAAAACTTACTAGATCATGTGGATAAAAGCGAACTGAGGTAGAACTCGATACGTGAGAGTCCGTGTCACTATAAGAACAGGGAAAATACTTCAGATTATAAACTACATTTTATTTCAACAGGTTGCTCTAACATTCTAATGTCCCAAATTAATTTTGATACCTTGTGAATTTTATGTAAGTATCCTTAAGTTTTCCCTTCAGTCACTTATTAGAAATGCAAGTAGCCACGTAGTCTCATGTATTGTGGTACATTCCACAGCTATAGTAAGCCAAAAGACTCTTGAATCTTACCCTTAATAACATTTTCTCAACACCCAGTCCCTAAATTGTTGAAAAAGAACTTCAATGATAGCCATTATTTCACTTGAAAAAACAAAAATATTTTATAAGCTGTTAGATACTGGTTTGTAAACATACATCACATCTCCAAAGAAGTGCAGAGGCCGCTAGGTGTCCACATGCAGTTTCTCTTAACTCTATAGTGTTTTTACCAAGATCCCAAAACTGCCAAAAATATTACATACTTAATACAAGTGAAGTGAGCTACTTAAACTGCTTTTGACAAACTTAACTGTTATTTAAAGTTAAACCTCTGGTAAGAAGAGCAAAATTACTTGGCAATTTCCATTCATTAGAGACGAAGAGAAATTTCTCTTACTGTATGAGAGTCCATATCCAACCATTGCTTTTTCCCCCAATTTTGGATAGCTTTTGGATGTTTGTTTTCCATGTAAATCACATGGTTGTAAGACTTGTATCAAATTTATGCAACTTTCCTTCAGTTCCTTGCCTTAAGATAAAAACATTCTTTGTTATCAATTTTACTTCACTGAAACTCAAGTATTCTCTACAGCCAAGATCTGATTATCTGAAGTGGCCAGTTTGTTCCTTCCATTAGCACATACAACTTCAGAACAGCAGCCATCAGCAAAGCCATTGCATCTGGAACATGCAAGCAGCAGAGGCAGGGATTGGCAGCTTTGTGGAAGGAATGCAGAACTTTTTGTCAAAGTTCAAGTCTACAAAAGGCACTTGCATACTCTCACAAGAAAGATTTCAAGATGGGACGTTTTATATTCATTACTCCATAATTCCAAGTGCTACACCTACATGTGGTAGGAATTACAGCATTCAGCACGGCGCAATAGCTGAGCAGAGCAATTCTACATAGTGAAGTAGATTTGGGGCAGGTGGGAAGCCACAGGAGGTTTTGGGTTGATTTTCTTTCTTCTACCTCCTATCCCTTCAGAGAAAGGAAGGACATCTTTCCCATAGTAGATGAACTTCCCAGTATGTAGCTGGCTATTTCAGCTGCAAGTCAAATTTTAATCTCAGGCATGTTAACACTTCCATGGTACTGTTTGATGTCATCTATGAACTTGAGAATAAATTTATCAGTTTACAATGGCTTCACAATTGGAAGTTCAATAGCCATTATGGTCAACAGCCACTTACTTTCTCAAAATTGGGTTACATTCTTTAACAAAGACCTTCTATAAGCCAACAAAAAATGCATTCGTCAAGTTCTCAGTTTGGAAGTGTACTGCTTAAGCTAATAGTAGTCTTTATATTCTGAGATAATAGTTAACTTAATGTCATCTTCTAGTAAAAATCAATTGGGTCACAAAAGTATAAGTATATGGTTAAGGTATTGTATTGGGCTTTTTAGTCATCCATACTAAATAACCTTTTAAAATTAAAATAAAATATTGGGTTGCAGTAAGACAAGAATCATCACTCTTGACTGGCCTTCACACACACCAGATGTTGGATGCTCTTCTTGCAGCTGGCTCAAAGTTCACAAGTGACATGTCGCAGCCCCCTGTCTCGTAGAGCGTAGAACTGAACTTACCTATTAAAGAAAAGTTCAAAACCAGGTCAAAATTTCCTCATGTTTCATCCCATTGGCAGCAACTTCTATTCATTAACTTACTACAGAGATCAATTCAGATATATATATTTACATCAGTGTCAAAATATAAAATGTGATTACACATGAATGCGTCACCAGTGCAGAGATTAGCTACAGAGTTGTCTTTTGTACCATTTTACGTAACATTTACACTGTAATTGCAGTCCCAAATTAAAGAGTTTGTATTTACAAGATGCCACCATTAACATAAGAGGACAGCATAAGCCCTTTCTTCCCCTTGGAGAATAACCACATGAAAAACTTGCAGTGACCAGCTTCATCTCTTCCCCACCCCCAACAGAACCATCAGTAAATGATTCACTATCAACATTTAAGAACAGTAACTACAACAGAGATAACCCAAGTATCCTGAAAAAAATTATTTTGAGAAGTCCATGTCTATTTGAAAAGAAACACGAAGACTGAAAGAAGTGGCTAGAGATGCTTCATAAGTTAACTCAGAAAACTCAAAAAAGGAACATAAAACAGATTTATTCTACAAGCTAGAAACAAATGCTTCAGTGTAACAAAGGACTGCAAACTAACTTCTTAGATAAACCATTTGGACTTACTTCCAAAATACAAAACTTTGAAAAATGGCCAAAGATTATAGCTTAACTACATTACTCTCAATCTTTTCAATCTTTCACCCTCCTCCCAGCATTGGCCTGATCAGAGAGATCAGCATTGCAATTTTCCCTGAAGGCCAGGTTCAATATATTTCATCTTCAAATGCAGGGAACCCGGTTTTGAAACTGATCTCATGTGAAATAATCTGCCAGCTTCTCCATCTCTTCTAGCTTAAAACCCCCTTCTTAAGTTATGATGCAAAACACGCAATATTCCCAAGATCAAGATTATATAAACATAAGAAAAAATCCTACTCTGGAGCATGTGAAAAAAAACCTGTATACACCTCTCAGCTGTATGTCTTGCAGCTTTTCCTTCTGCTGATACAAGATACCAAGCAGACCTCCCAGAAATACCTAACAAGATGAGAGCTTCCAATCTTTCCCATTTCTGTGAGAATGCAACCTGCTTCTAACACCATGGATTTTGAATATTTTTTTTAACACAATATAATCCTGCTCCAGCTTCTCTTCAGATCCACAGACAATTAAGTTTGATTCAGAAACATCTGAATCTTAGCAGGTTAAATCCCTCAAACTAGATGCTTAAAACCAGTGAAACAAAGCAAAAAATACTGGTACATTGAAAATATCTTCATAAAGCTTTCTACTCTCAGAAGGAGCACTTCAGATGAACCAGGCAAATACCATAGATGTGCTCAGAGCTATCATTGTGACAAGACAGTCCCCTTCAGAGCTCAGGAGGCACGAACAGCATGCGCTGGAGCTCAGTAAAGCAGCAGCCCTCCTCGGTTCAATTACATCTGCCACAGACGTAAGGACAAAGCTCACTTGTTAGGGCTTTTTCCTCAATGGATAAGATTTTAACAAAGTCCTTTAGCTGATTATCTTTTGGTTTTTCAATGCAGGTTGTAGTGCACAGTTGACACTGAAGCTTCCAATTTAAGCTAGTAGGCAACATTGGAATCTTCCCACAATTAATAAAAAACATTGGTTACAAAGGTTTATTTCTTAACTACATCAATAAAGAAGTTTCAAGAGCAAACATGGAGATACTGGACAATACAAATACACTTCAGGTTCTATTCAGGGCAAAAATGTGCATAAATTACTATGAATAAATCTCCTGGGCAACCAGCCATTAAAAAAATAAAAAAAGTTTGGGTTAAATTCTTTATAGTTTTGCATTACTGAATAGAGATACTGGAAATCAAACTTTTTAACTCTTAATGAAATTCTAGTCACAGAAGTTAGAATATACTACTTGGACATGTAATTTCCCCTTCCCTTGAGCTGAGAAAACACATCAAATATTTATTTCAGAAGTTTACTGAACTATTATACTCTCTCATATCTACAGTTCCCCTGTCACCCAACTTATGAATGCGTTTTGATAGTAAATCTATCAAAATTTACTGCATTTATATTGCTCCTCTAAGTACTGCACTGAGATATAATGAACCTGATTAATACAGGTAGCAAACAAACAGAACACTTAATTCCCATGGTTTATACACAAACTACAAAAAGGACTCAGGATATGTCAGCCTTGCAATTTACCCACCTACTTAAATACACTTCCTACTGAAAGTTAGTTCCCTGGCAAGCAAAGCACAGCTTCACATTAAACCAAAATCTTTTTCTGCCCCCTTTTATTGTTTTTCCTTTCCCATTTTTGATTTGGTTTGGTTTGTTGTTCTGTTGGGTTTTTTGGTTGGTTGATTTTTAAAAAAAGATTTTTCAGAAAAGCCTCAACTCATTCAGTAGAAAAGCTGACTGGACTGTTCATTGCTATTGGTGACACAAACTCCAAAGTGTGACTGGAGATAGTATGTCTGTACTACAAAATCCTTAAGTTTTCAATTCTGTGAGATAAGAACAGCTTCCTCACAACACACAAATTCTAACAAAGAATTTCAATACTTAAGATTCAATACATATGGATATACCCAGCATTTTTATTTACTCTAGTGACTCTCTCCTACTCCTGTCTCCCACAGCATTCTCCTGGGATACTCGGAACAGCATCACATTAAATAAGCCTAGGAATGTATTTTCTCTCTCTGAAGCCTGTAGCTTTATCAAGTTGTGAGCAAATGGGAGACACCAAAGATTATTGCAAATTATTATACAGAAAGTGCAAATCAAGAAATAGCACATTTGCCAACTCAACAAAAATGTCTAACTTCCCTGGACACAAAAAAGACATGTACGTTCTTAGCAAATTAAAGTCACCCAAAAATATTCAATTTGGACCAGGTTACAATAACGAACAAAGACACTGTGATACTCAAGCACACAAATCCAAAACACATCTTCATTCTGGCATGGAGAGGAAAGACAAATATGTGTTCTTTGAAGCAAAAGACCAAAATTCCTCATCATCACATACAGACACAACCATGTAACAGTTCACACTGTAAAAACTCATATTCCCACAGTTAAGGGCATCAACAGGCAACAGCAACAGGCTGACAAGCTTACACAGACAAATCCTGGAAGACTTAAATGGCTCAGGATCTAACTAGAATGGTGCTCTGATGGTTCCCTCAGCTAAGTTATCTT